CAAGCTAGAGGCTCGTGAAGGTGGTAGGTTGTGATAATCTATGAAAGATAGGGGTTATTTAGTAGAATTTATTTTACACTGACTTATCTTGGTCACCATCTCTGCAGAGAGAGCTGGATCCTGTCCCCGCCCTTGTATGAAAAACAGGAATGCCTCAAACAGGGAAAATGCACACCCTGCCTTTAGACAGAGGGTGGAGAGCAGACAGCTTTTCTTTTGCCGGTTTTTCTCAATTGAATTTAGCTCAAAATGATCCCTTTATACTTAACACTACTGAACTGTGCATTTAAAGATCATTACAATGGTTAAGTTTTACACTATATATATTACACTACAATTTTGAAAAGAGATCAAGGCAGTAGTTTCAGAAAATTAACTCATATAAGAAAACTTAGGAGAGGTATTTCAAGTGTAAATGGTGTTATGCAGCATGATTTCTGCCTACAGCAAAACTTAAATGTGTCCCTAAGAACATGCCTACACATCTTATTCTATTTCCTATTTGAAAGAAAATATGTAGTGCATCAGTATTACTACCCCAAAGATAATAATAGCTATAATTTTTCAAATACAAACACACACATTCTTACTCACCACTTGTAAAATGGGTAGAAAAATTAATTCCACATATGAGCACATAAACCACAATATTAAAAAGTTATTATTATCTTCACAGACAAAATTTTTACCAGTATGTGAAGGTTGTAGTAATTCTCAAATTGAAAAGAAAAGATGTGGAACAGAGATCAAAAATCCAATTAATGTTCTCATTTTTTTTTTCTTCTTTGTGCAATCAATGCTACACTTATCATATTTTAATTTATGGCAAAAGGAATTCATATAAATGGGCAGGTACTCAAGAGACTCAACAGAGAATGAATACACCATAGTTTATTTTTTATGTCATATAGTAAATAAACTCTGCCCTTTGAGAGCAATTTACTCAAAATTTGTGTGCTATAGCTCTTCTTCCACTAATAACATAAGGCTGTAAGAATCCTTTCCACTTTATCAGCTTGCAAGTATGCAAACATATGAAGCAGTTATTTGGTCTACCATATAAATAGCTGAAATAAGTTTCTTTGACTTTTTACCGGATGAAATATATTTAAATGCCAGCTGCATTAGAACCTTGAAATAACTCAATGCCTGTATTTGAAGTGGCATGAAGTGTCTGAATACAAGTAAATGTAAAGAACTTTAGAATTCTGCTTTAATTACCTATAACTTTGTAAAGAAATATTCATTGAATAATTACTATGAACTTCTTGTTCAAAAAGAATTGCAAGGGACAGAGGGAGAAGCTTGTAGCTTAAAAAGCTTCCCATAATCCAAAAGACAAACCAAGGGACACGAGAGAATCCACAGGATAATGACATTTATTGAAAGCAGAAAATATTTTACATATATACTTTTTTATTTTTTTCAGTACTGGGAATCGAACTCACGACCTCGTGCTTGCTAGGCAGGTGCTGTGCCTCTGAGCTATATCCATAGCCTATACATATATATTTCACTAAGAAAAAGTACCTCGTTTTTATTATATTTTCAATCATATGTGCCACAAAATTTCATAAGCAGTTATATATTTGTGCATATCTTATCCTTAAACTCCTACATTTCATGGGCTGTTACATCTGTTTGTGTTCTTAAAACAAAATCTGTCTTAGCTAAACAACAAGGATTTGCTGATGGGTTGAATTACTCATTAGGTGGTTTAATCAGTGCAAGGAAACTTGGACTTAGAAAATTAATCATTTCCCCAAGATAAAACCCTACGCCATAAAGGCAAATCTTAAACCCATGTGCTTTGTTTCTGTATCAGGAGACTTTCCCCAACTCTTACTTGAAAATTTTCTCTCCGTAATTGGCATTTTGTTCTTCCTACCTGTTTTACATATATGGGGTTCTGGGGCTAGGGATTTACCTCAGCAGCACAGCACCTGCCTGGCAAGCACGAGGTTGTGAGTTCGATGCCCGGTACCGGAAAACAAAAAACAAAACAAAACAGAAAACAAAATACATATAAGGGTTCAGTACTGTCCCCAGACCATGGGTCCTGATCATATTCTTTTTTTTCTACTTCCTGTAAAGCGTAGAAGTACAGGTCCACACTGGCTACTACAATGCTCACAACGACATATTTATTATCATTTGATAGGTTTCTTAACAATTATTACCCTTTTTCTCATTTTCTTACTCCTTCGTTTTACTTTCTTTGCAAATATTAACACAAAACCTCAGATAAAGACCAAAGCAAGTGATAAGTATTTGTTTACTTTTACAAAAGCATTTGCTTTTAAATCCCATTTTTCTAAAATTCAAACAAGATAACCTTATAAAAACTTAAACATGTTTGATGAGAAATATGCAAACAACACCCCAATGCTCAGTATCAACTAATTAAGTTAATATTTGGTTTTTTCAACATTTTTGATAAGATAAAATTTTATGGCATTTCCTTTTCCTTTTCTTTTTTTAATTTTGTGAAGAATGGTAAACAGAGAGAGGTTTGTTATACATGTTTAGAATTTTATTCTTAAGCATATACAGATTATAATAAAAATCCCATGGATCTTCAAAAAGGTAACTTACCAAAGGTCTCCTGCCTTACCTGTGCTTAAAATATATACACACTATTTTTGTGATACCTTTAATTTTATATCCCAAAATTTAGGATTACTCATAAATGTTCTGCGTATAATAATACATTCAATGTTCCTACCCCACCCTAAGGGTGAACATTCCAAAATTTACTCCAGGTTTTCCTGATATTTCATCCCGATTGTCTCCAAAGAAAGTACTGTTGCTAGTATGTTTCCTGTGAGAACATGAAATATTTTACTTTATTCCTCTGAATATATTTTCAGATATTTTTAGATTGATATTAAGGTGAAACGCAACATTGAAATGTTTGGGCTTTTTTCTGGATGCAGTCAAAACAGTCTAAAGGTATACTGTTGTAAAATATATTTGGATATTTGAAAGAATTCATTGTTTGGGTGTTTCAGACACTGAGTATCAATTCAGGTTTTCCATGCAAACAAAGCAAGCTTTTCTAAAACTATTTATTTAGGGATCCACTTTTAACATCATTACATAATTTACACCCTTCCTCATTTCACTGTGGCTAATTAAATGTGCTAATATCTTTTTTTCCCCTCTGGGAATCAAACTGAAAACCTTACTATACAACTGGGCTACATCCCAGGCCCACTGCACCTTTCAAGGTACCGCTATGTAAACATTGAACTAAAACAGACTAATAAATGTTTAAAACCTTAGGTATAATAATTACTGAAATAGCTCTGTAACTATTAAATAATAGTTTGGAAATGTGATTCATAAGGAGTTTTTCAATATTAGACACCAAAGATGGTTTGCAGTCACCCCCACGCGTTTCATACACTGTGATTCATCTAGCAATTTTAGATAATACCTGTTTTCTTTTAGATGACATCCATTATGGTGTCTCAGAAAAATAAAGTAGAAAATTACTTATTTTAATAATATTATTTCATAAAGTCTTTGCAAAAATCTCAGAATTCAAGCAATGAAAACCACAGTAAACATAGAATTTATGTAATTTTTATGCTAAACGATTTAACTCTTTCATTTTCAAATGTTGCATAGTTCCACAGTGTAAGTTTGATCACTGCAGCATTTAATTGCTCAGTGATTCTTAAATTCCTAAAACAAGAAATATCACTGTCCAAAAACACTTGAAAGGTTTGCACAATGAAGATTTTGCTTTCTTTTTCCAATTAAATCAATTCTTACTTTATAACAGTCCCAGATCTGTTATAAAATTTAAGTACCTTGAATTATAACAGCTAAACTATTATTTCAAATTTTAAGAGTGTATAATTTTTCAGACTATATTAGCATCACATTTTACCACACTAAGGCATACAGAACAAAGTAAAAATGCAGCAATATTGCATAATAAATAAACACCTAAAATGTTCATGATATTTTGAAGAATATACATGTTATTTATCTTTTTAAAATGACCTTAATACATACAAACATAAGCTCAGAACTACATGTAAATTACTTAGACCTTTATAATACATATATTTAACATTTGGGTTTAAATTATTTTCTAGAAAAAAAAAAATATCCTTACCATGTATTTATTTGTGGTATTTTTAAAAGAGATATCTCAAAAACATTCAATGTTATGAGAAATCCATTACTTAGCTACAGAGAACCCTGACAGTAATTAGCGTCAACATCTCAATAAGGATTTGGTCTTATTTGAAGAAATTTAGAAAGAAAAAATATCCAATTTAATAAATATGATATTAATATCATGACTAATATAAGAGACAAAGGTAGCAAGCTTGAATTATGATTTACTGTGCATAAAGAAAATCACTATATGTCTTACATAGAAGTGTATAGTGGAATACATTTGTAATGTTAAGAATTTTCTAAAATCTCAGGATATATCTTTTTTAATACTAGGAATTGGCTTCACAAAGAGTAAAGGATGGCAAAATTGACAATAAATATTCTGATTTTATTACATACAGTTAAAATACGTTCAACTGTGTAGAGTACCATACATTGCTAGAACCCTGAGTAATTTCCGAGGAGTCAAGGAATTGTGTAGGTAATTGGGTATTTTTATGCTGCAATAGCAAAGAACGTACCTTTGCAAAACAAAGTATAAGGGGTATTACGTGCAGGCAAGTGAAGAATCTATTATAAAGTATGTTTGTTCTGTATGTGTTAAGGTAAAGCAAACCAAAAGAGAAAAATGCTAGGCCTGTGAACTCTATTGTCTTTTCAAGAAACATGTTTTGTCTGTCACATGAAAAAACTAGTTCAGATTTCCCAGCATATGCATACAGAGTAAATTCCTGCTACACTAAATGCACAGTAGTCAGAACCATGGAGTTACAGAATCATACAATCGGGTTTCAGTGATGCTCTGAGGTTCTGAAATATGGTAACCACTAATAAACAAGATTACAGCGCACGTGTAAACTCACCCTTCTAATCTGACATCCGGCAGACTTCGGTTAAGGGCAATCAGATCACTGGCCATGAGATTAAATTGATTGATTTTAAACAATTCTTTCATCTTCTCTTGGTCATCTTTAGGAATCAGCACGGCCTTTCCCATTTCTCCTGGACCTTCTTGGTTTCTTGAAATGACGGCTGTAAGACACACACAGGTACACACACATACAAACACAGGATAAACTGAATAAATAAATCCTGAAATCTGTTGTTCGTATATTAGTTTAACAATGTAATCATCCAGACGACTGCTCGCGAGTGACACCCTCCGTAAACGAAACAATCCCTTTTGGCTCACTGGCTCAACTCTACATTTTGTCTTCCAACTGTGATCATATTATGTAATCTAAATAATGACTAAAAATTAGTAAGATTTTATAATCTGACTAATGCTGTTATGTGTCTTAACATGCTTCTCAGAGATGACTTTGAGCACTAGAACAAACATTACGAAATAAAAGGCATATCTGAAAAGTTGCTAATATTCATTTACTTTCACAACTAATTAAAAACAAACTGCAAAACACAGTAAGAATACACTGAAAACTGAGGAGAGAGTATAAGCAGTGAACTTTGATTTGGCCTTCATAGTTCAAGACAGCAGCAGTAGCATTACTAATCCTCATACAAATCTGACATCCAGTGAGTTATTGTCCACGAACTTATCCTGACTTTGAACGGCTGAGTCAAACTACGAAAGAGAATAAGCTCAGTGGAACTTTAGGTATCAGTACCAAGAAGGTAACTAGACTCGAAATCATCTCATCCATAGGCACACAGTAAGAACTTGAAATATTTTAATGGAAAAGACATATGTACCCAACTTCAAACTACTTAAAAATTACCATTTGTTGTAATTTGTGTCAATCTGTCCCCAAGGTTCTTGCTCCCCAAGATGGTACTCCAGGAAGTGTTAAAAACTTGAACAGGTGGAAACAGAGGGCAATCTTCAGGTCCTGGGGGCGCGGTTTCAAAAGGGACTGCGGGACCCCAGTCCCTTCTTTCCTGGCTCTGGCTTCCTGGCCACGTGCTGAGGAGTCTGGCTCTGCCACGCACTCCTGCATGATGTGGTGCCTCTCCCAAATCATACACTAAAAGCTCCAAACCTGTGGAGCAAAATTCCTTCTTTGTGTGTATGAGTTGCTTATTTCAGTTATGTGTTAGAGTGCTACAAAGCTGACTAGAACTTCATCGAAAGAGTTTACAAAGATTACCAATCATGCTAAGTAGCAAATCTCAAAACTATGGCAGTATTGTATGAGAGAGCATAATTCTCAAAATTCAAGAAATTAAATTCTAAATATTAATTATTATAGAGCAGGAATTTTCCTTTGGAATTAGTGATCTGAGAATTTTCAAAATCAGTTGGAATTGTTGGTGTTGATGAACTTGTGTTGTCAGTCAGATATTTACCTTAAAGAACATTTCACCTCTAGGATTTTAGAGAAAAAAAATAATTCCACAGAACATGTTGAAATAATTTCTGTGGTTACCTGGAGACCTCCTAATTCTGAAATAAGGAAATAATCAGTCTATGTGATACATCCTATTAACCAATATATTCAATTTTGATATTTTAACATGCTAGGTTGTAAATTTAATGCCATAAAATATTTTCTTGATAGACCATTTTGAATTTTATTTTGAAACATTAATGAACGGTTAAATTTTCAAGATACAAATTTTTCTTACAATTTTTAGAAATTAAGCAAGTAGTTCCCCATTCACAGCTATTTATAATGTCCTTATGGAAAATAAATCCTGCTTTATCTTCCTATGTTTGGCTGGCAGTGCAAGAATTAAACTTACAAAAGGAAGATTAAAAGAAGAAAGACATAAGGGTATCTTTTTGCATGTACACAAGAGTCCTCAAAATGCAAATGAAGACCCAAAGAATCTGAGCCAAAAGCATATAAACATTTTCATACGAAAGAGAATACATTGTGGGCTGAGAGGACGCAAATCAGCCTGGTTAGAGGTGGAAGTTTAGGGATGTAATTAGGGAATACACAGAGAAAGGCAGGAGTGAGACTTTGTTTGCATAGGTCCGCTGCAGTGCTGACTCTGTTTCTGGAGAAAATAATGCTCTTCTCCTCCTTGGGCAGCTACATTTCTGTGAAAACATCTACGATGTTTAAGGTCAAAAAGGTCAGGAGGCAGAGCGTGTCCTGTATAGGTTGTGTCTTAAGTGTCTGCCGCTGAAGTCATGAATATGCCAAAATTCCATGTCTGGAGGTGCCAAATTCTGAAGCCCTTCATCCTCTGTAACATGGAGAAGAAGACACCATGTTACAGAAAAAGGCACTGTGGACGCGTGTACTCCCACGGCTGGCAAGTAGATAGGATTACAATTTCCTATTCTATGAGGAAGACAAGTGGCTCAACTATGACACCGCAGGACATTAAACTCGAGTTAAAGCCACAGATATTCCAAAGAATAACAATTTCTTTTTAGCATTATACAGATTACCATTTTGTCACTGGTAATAGGTGTAGGTGGATCCTGTCACATGGTACTGAAAACCAAAAGTTAAGGTGTCACAAACAGTGTCCTCATGCCTAGAACTAGCTACAAACACGTGATTACTCTTCTTATTCATTCTGTTTCCTAATGAAGAACAAACAGTGGCTTACTGCTTATCCGGGTACGTGTCTTCTCGGCAGAGTTAAAAGCATTCTGCGTAATTGTCTCTAATGAACGAACATCTGACATTAAATTTTTTTGCTTATCTAGGAGCAGACAGACATACAGGTTTGTTTTTCACCTTGCTCAAGCAAAAAGAACGCTAAGTAATTACGGTACAGAACCAGCCTCCTTCTTTTCTGGCTCTTACCTGAAATAATGCTTTCTAATAATAGAAGAGGTTTTGTACTCCTTTAAATAGCACAAATAAGAAGTGAGGGAGAAGGAGCAATGAGACTGCGGGCGATCTCAGATCTGCAGCTTTAAACAGCAGTTCCTATTTAATATTTTATTTAATATATCATTTAGTAATATTTTATTTAATATTTCCTATTTTCTCTTCACTTGTTCATTCTTCTTCTCCTCACAGCTTAACAAAAGACTACCCAAACACCCACAAAACACACTTGCCTACAGCCACACGGAAGAGTCAGAAGGAACTGGTGATGAATGTCTGTCATGTTCTCTATTCTCACAGGCAGCAAAACTTGCACTCTGGCTTCAGGATTGTTCATGTGAATATGGAAAGAAGAGCCCCGATTCCAACTGGTTTTCATCACCGAAAGAGCAATTAACGTACAATTCTGTAAGCTGCTTCCTTACTCACTATAAAAATCATCTAATAATCGGCTATATTTAAAATAGCATTATACAGCTAGAAATATGAAGAGAACAGAAAGATTTTACAAATATCTTTCATTTTCTTTAACATGGTGCCTACTTAAAATATTTAAAGAATATGCAATCATAGAAATCCCACCTATAGCATGTGACCAGCAACATATAAACACAGCAACTACTCAGTCTACTGGGAATTCCACATTTTAATTTCATTATTTGCTTATGGGCATTGCATTATGAATGCTTTTGGAGAATTACTCCATTAATGAGAACTCACTACTTGTAAAATGAGAAATGGACCAACCTCAGAGAAAAATTTGAAGTTCAAAACAATTTATTTTAATGTACTGATCTGATTTCATTAGTGAACACAGGTTTTTACATGGTACACATTGGTCAAAATGTAACATGGGACCAAAAATTTAAATGTTATCTCATGTGCCATGCACTCCCAATATTTTTATTCAAATTGTACCCCATCCTAATATCAGCACAATTGTTACTGTCTGCATCTGCCTTCAGACGTTTTCCGAGTTCTCACTGATACCTCTGCTCTTCTCTGTTTCACCACGTCCAATCTGACAACTACTACATGAGAAATCCTGACTTTACTTCCCCTCCTCAGTGTATACTGATACTCTGTTACAAATAAATCCATGCTTTTGATGTTGTCCATCACAAATATGTCTGTCGTGGGTGAAGGGATGAGCACATCACAACAGCTTCTGTACCATACTCTACCAAAAATACTTTCTTCTTACCATTTTCTGGGTCATGCTTTCTTGCCACTTGAAATTCTTTCAGTTTAATAAGGTTAATTCTGATTAAAATAAGGTAAATATTTCCTCTGGCCCACTTAGAAACAATAATAGGCTTTAAAGTATAGTTAACTTGTACATTTGGAGGAGCTCGGAAAATAATAGAACCAACAATGATACTTTGACATGAGGATTGCTTTGAAATAAAGGAGAACCAAGGATTCTCTCACCTTCTGAGCTCCCATCCCCCAAGTCCATCACCTCTACCTCCTCACAAAGCACGGAAAGGTGCTTCCTCTGAAGTCTCCCTACGTACCCAAATGTCGTGTCCCCTAAAAGATTCATGTGTGGCAAGGAAGCCTCGAGTGGACACCCCACATAGAGCTCAGCTGAACTTTTTGCTAGGGTATTCTCTGTTCTTTAGGCTCATTCACCTTCCCTGAAAGTCATTTATTCTTCCTTTAAAAGTATCTATAGCCTACTCATGTCTCAGACATGAGTCTCAGACATGAAATTCTTTCCAATATATATCCAAGGAAATATTTGAGATCTGCTCAATGATTTGCCTGACTAGATAATTAAAGTAGTAAATATGCAAGTGAATTTGTATTTGTACATGTATGCAAATACAAATGTATATGTTTATCACACATTTATGTAAATGGTAAATAGCTACAGAAATTGTTATAGCCCCAAATGAAAATAAACAGTAATTAAAAGTATGGTACAAAAGAGACTGTTTAATGAAGTGGAAGATGTTCATGTTATACTAAATGAACTAAAGGGTCATAATACTATGCTATAAGTAGTTCTATTTTTGTACTGAAAAGTTTATATATATATATATATATATATATATATATATATAT